TTCTAAGAAAACCTAGTTGCTCAAAAATTAAATTTCAGTCATACAGACTTCAATAAAACACATTGCGAATTGCATAAAAATAAAGCAACAAGAAAACGCATCCTAGACATAGCAACCAATCAATCAGAATCACTAACTAGGACAAAAAAAACCATTAAGCAGGACATTTTTTCATCCTAAATCCTAGTTTTTTGTCCCAAGTTGAGGGTAGTTTTACATGATAGTGCAACAGCCATCGCTTTCGAAGCTCAAGGGCATGGCCGTTAGCGGTGGCGAATGCACGTACGATGATTCTAAGCAAGCGTCTTGAAATGCTTGTCGGAAAGGAAAATAACGACCATATTCATCGTAGCTACTCATTCGGCAACCATATGGATTATCATGGTTCGGCAAAAATAAGTTGCTCGAACACTGTCCATATTGGAACCAACATAATTCTGTATGTCTTCCAGCTTTTCTTAGCTTTTTCATAAGTAATTTTGGATCAATCAAACCTGACACGTGCACAATGCCGTATTCATCCATCTTGAAACTACGTACTCCTTCATTCGATACACCAAAAAAAAAAAAAAATCAGAATCTATCATGAAAATAAGTGTTTTTGTAAGAAATTAATTATTTTATACCTCGGCTACTGGATAACACATCCCTGACTGCCTTTTGCCATCCTGAACTGTGTATATTTACTCTCAGGATACATGACTGGAAAAAAATACAAAAAGAATATGAAAAAAAAAATTTGATAAAGTGGAAAATACGGATGAAATATACATACAAAATACAATACCATGAATGCTGAATTGTCTTCTTTAATTGAACGAATCCATTTGCAAGGTGCCATTGATACGATTTGTTCGACAAAGTTTTTCTTAAAGTCTAACTAAAATACAAGAAATGTTCATTCTTTTGGAACTTAAATAGAGTGTTGATGGATTTTTATATTTTTATTTTTTGGAAATGATGAAAATGGCGTGATTCATAAGGAAATTATATCGGTTAAAAAATAGAATTCTGGGAATATTCCGCCTCAAAAATGGCTAATTGACATGAATGAAAAAATCAAGTTAATTGATATGATAGAGTAAAGATACGTTTGCTTATTTTGGAAACAAATCTCTTAGAAAAGAAATCTCAAAATTTTGTAGTAAAATAATACCAATTTTGATAAGTTTTATGATAGATTTAATAAACACTCGTTGGCATGACAACATTTAATTAGAAAAAATAATAAACCACGGGTCGTTAACTAGCTAGTGTTAGTTGCGCAACAACATTTCTTAGAAAAGTGATTTTTTTTTTTTTCCGAAAATAATATAATCATGATAGTTATTTTAAATGAAAGAAAATTAATATCTATTATAAATCTCAAATTTGATAAAATTACAAAATAAAAGCACAATCAATAGAGTAGAAAATGAATTAATTTTATTAACTGTAAAGGTTAAAGTTTGTACTTCTATTATATATATATAACGGAGAAACTAAAAGCAAAATTGAGAAGTCAACATAACTCGATGCTACTGTCGTGAACCATAATCGAGACGACGAGCACCGATGCAGTAGCAGTAAATTAGAGATGCAACTGCAGTGAACCATAACTCGATGGTGGTCTGGATCTCGAGGTCCATGTTGGCTTTCAAGTGTTTAATTACACAGTATTCAATTGTTTGTAGAGTGCCAGACGGGGGACGTTAACTGTGACTGTTATCATCCAAGTCAGAAAGTTTGAAACTCGGAACTTTATCACACGTGTTTCAATTCTTTAGTTGGTATTTCTGCAGGATGTAATTCGGTTCACTTCGTTGCAGGCGAATACAAGACGATATTCGTGCAGCTCGGTCACAATAGAGAATAGTCTGATATTGATAAGTCTGCCCGTCCCATTATGCTTTTACCATAAAAACATTTACGAAACCCATAGAGAATCCAATTACGCACGGCACGCCAATTCTCATGACGTCCAAAGCTCGATGATGAGAAAGGAGAGAACCATAGAAGGGGCCGAATGCAGCATGAACACATCTATGATTCTATATGTCGAGAAATACCATTATGAACAGAGATAAGATGATATGAAGCATCTAATTCAGTGCTAAGTAACAGTTATTGTTTATGTCAACGTTAATTATAACCAGAAGAAACCCCAAACAGTTAGAATTGAGTAACTAACTGGAAATACTATAAATGATGAAAAAGACCAAATATCTTAATAACACTATGGGACAGCAGGAATACCTACTCATTAAACCAACATGAAGAATTCTGCTCAGGAAACGGGTGATGAGGTCCAGGAACAAAGCCTAATGATCCAGGCCTTGGAACTGGAGGACGGAATGCACCACTCATATCTGGCAAAGGCTGTCCTGACCTCACATGATTAATCCTTCCATGGTTTAGCTCATCCAGTCGAGGAGCATATCGTTGCATTGTAGAAGTATTCATACCACCATAAGTGGAGTTACCTGATGGAAATGGTTGTCCATATGTAGGATGATACCCAGGACCAGGGTTGGGTCGTGGGTGTATAATTTGGTGTCCAAGAATGAGGATGATCGTGTCTTCCGAGCAGATTTACATTTGAATGGATAGTTACATCCCTCCCATACTTCTCCATCTCATAAGATCTATAACTATGGATGTCTGTGGTCCCTCTGGATAGCCCAGCGATGGATCTGAGGTCCTAAACCCGTATTCAGGATTAGGAGTGTGGGACTGCCTGTTGGTCAAACTCGGAAAAGGCTCCTCACTATGCAACCGCTACTTCCTAACCAAATCATCATCCAGATTTCCACCATGTCTTGTTTGTGAGTAGAACCGTGATACAGAGAAGCTATTACTCCCAGAATGCTTGTCATCTTCCATCCCAACGTCCATGTGAGAGTGTCTTTCAGGAGATTTAGGTGAACGGTGATCAGATAATCTGCCACCATCCACGTTAGGGTAAGGCTGGCAGGAGACAGAATGCTTGCCAGTGGATTTGTCTTCCAGAGACATAGCCTGTCTTCTTTTCCGTTTCCTTTTGCCACGAAACTCCTCTGAATTCCCTTCAGATTGATTCCTCTGGTGCCCATGATTCCTATCCCCTTAGTGACTGAGCTGTCACGTGGCAATTCTTCATTGTGACTTGTAGCCACCCTTGCTTCTTGTTCCCAGCGTTCTTGTCTATTACCCAGATTCCTATCATCACCATGGTGCACAGGATATTCATCAAGATAAATACCGTGGTGTCTCCTGTGGCAAAATAAGGATTGAAGTTTAGGTAAACTCAAGAGCTTTATCGATAAATTTGTTTGCAAGACTTGCATTAACTCCGAAGGGAGGGTTCAGCCCCATGATCTGACCAAAAATAGAAATCAATTGTAAAGAATTTGATGAGGGAACACAAATTGTGCTAAACCCAACTGACGGGAGTAGACGTTTAAAATTCATAAAATCATACTAAACTTTTTTAATTTCTAACTATTTTACAATTTAAATAAAATATTTACAATGTGCGGGTCAATGAGCTTAGTTGAAACTGCAATCCTTCACACTTTGTTATGTTTGTAACATACGTGTAACAAATTATATTGCGCTCATGTTACACATATAACACGCTACGTTCCGTGATGAGACGCAAAATGTCATATCGTCAACAATCATCATAATTTCTATTAATTTTTGTAATTGTTAAAAAAAAAAAAAAAGACTCAATGTGAAGGCCTAAATTGTTTGGAAAACCTTTGCATGATCCAAGAAGAGCTAAATAACATACCGTGATCTTGGCGTGCTTGCCATCTAACCAATCAATCAAGAAGTACTAGAACACGACTAGAATATGCAATTTCTTTTCAAACGAAACATATGGCACTAAAGTTTTAAGAATAGCTCAACCAGTTTCTTGCCTATTGATACCATTGCCCTTGGCTGTTAGCATAGAATGAGGCCATTCAAGCGCGAATCAATCAATTTGAAGACTAGCGTACATTTGAAAAATTATCCACGGTCATCAACCAATTTTGCACTTTGCTTAGAAGTTCTCATCTCTCATCTTCTTTAACAAATACTTGAACTCCATCAGCAGTTAACATGCTGCTAATTTATTACCAACAAGAAGATCAAAGATGTTACCAAAAAGAAAGATTTAACGTAATTCTCCACAAGAATTGATTAGTATGACAATTGAAAAGTTCAATCTAATTCTCGAAAGCTAGAGCAATTGCAAAGATGAAAAAGACAAGTATAATAAGATGACATTTCTGGTAGCAAAATTTTGAATCTAGGCAGCACCACTGGCACCCTTTCCCTTCTTCCTCTGGAGTTTCTTCATGTAAAACTCCAATTCTTTGCCCTCCAAAATATATCTAGCAAAATCAATTTCATACCACATCAGAAAAAAAGATCGATAAACAAAAAAAAAATGAGGGTAAAGTTTATGCATGCAGCTTAACAAATAAGTGACCAAAGAAGTATTACCAGATTAAAGTCAAAAGTAATAAAATTCTGTCTGTCTAACAAACATGCCGTATATTTGTGCTAAGTTAATTGTCCCCATCAGAGAAACACAGAGAGGAAAAAAAATATTCATGAACTTCCATACTACAGAGTTGAGCACAAAATTTTGAGACATTTTTGTTCTTAACTGAATTCCCCAGACAAATGAAAAGTTTGGTAAGCACACCAGCATAATGGAAACTCAGTTCACCAACAGTTAAGTTGGCATCTATTTTTGAACTAGAAGTGAGCATTTTTCTATATCCGTTCGTCATAAAAAAGAAAAAGGGACATTTGGCCTTTGATATATCAGTAGCCATGAGATAAAAAAAATAAAAATAAAAAGACAATACATACCCATCAGCACGCCCACACTGTCCAGGGCGTGAAGAGATTGAAGCTAATAAACGGCCACTGCCAAATTGCTCCTCAACATGGGGGTCAAGCTTGCGATCCTGTTGACGCTTTTCAATTTTTCTCAGGACGTGGTTGCTCTTCTTCGTCTCTTCAGCAGCAGCAGCAGCATCAGTATCCTAATTAAATCCCAGTAAACAGAAGTTATTAAAAAGCTTTGAATAGATATTTTTCAGTAGACTTCGTTTAAAACTAGAGCATACATTAAAAAAACATGTTCATACAATTCAAATCTCCCTCCTTTAAATCACGACAAGACATTTCTTATGCCTCCCAGACTGGATCACTCGATTTCTTATTTTACCCCAATTACGCTATGGAATTCCAACTCAAATACGTCTGACATTTTTATTATCAGTCAATAGATATGGGTAAAAATAGAGTTAAAATATAATACAGAATGCATATTTTGGTAACTCTAGTTGACACGTTTTACACAATTGTTCCCTGGTCTTTAGAAATGTCCTCAATGATGCCTTCAAATGTATTATATAGCTCATTCATGCTCTCAATGCATTGTAATCTTGCCCATCAACTCACAGTTCAACTACTAATATGTGCCTAATTATATTAGTCACCAATTGGAGTAAAATTTGCTCTGTGAGCAACAAAAAAATATGAAGCACTTTTGTAGTCTAACAAAAGGTAATGGGCAAAGTATATCCTAAAGCAATGGAAAAGAAAGATAGTTCATTACTTCTCCTTCCTTCTTGGCAGCTGTCTTCTTCTTGCGACCAATGTCAACTCCATAGTGCTGAAGATACCACTGCTTGAATGGTGCAGCATCCACTTGAACAATGGCACTCTTCACCAAAGTCTGGGTCCTAACCAACTCATTGTTCGATGCATTATAAACCACATCAAGAATACGAGTCTTCCGGGTCACAGCTTCACTCCCCCAAGAGTAGTTTCCCGTGTCCAGCCTCAAGGCACGCCACTTCACATTACCTCCTCGAACCCTCACCCTTCGTACTGTTTTGTTACTTGACAACTTAGTATTTGCTGGTTGCCTTCCAAGCTCATACCTAAAAGTAGACAGATCAATCAGTTAGCTACAATCAAAAGTTATCATTTAACAATCTACTATAAATATTAATAAACCGATTAATCGTTGAATAACTGAACTAATATCTTTGAATAGAAATGGAAGAAATTCATAAGTGCGATCTTTTTTAGGTTTGAACAAAAAATTTAAAAATGTTCCCTTTTTTTTTTTTTCTAAATCTGATTTATTAAACGGCATTTCATTCATTCTATGAAAACCTAGTTGCTTAAAAATTAAATTTCAGTCATACAGACTTCAATAAAACACATTGTGAATTGCATAAAAATAATGCAACAAGAGGGATCGAGAATCGAAATAATCCAAGGACACATACACACAAAACGCATCCTAGACATAGCAACCAATCAATCAGAATCACAATTGACAAAATATATAAATATGAACCAAGTAAAAATTACTTTCTCTTCTTTCTCCAAGCCTTCTTCTTGCCTCCAGTGGCTCTCCTCTTGTGCATCGAGTCCCGTGAAATACCTGTATACAAACAACATTGCCATCAATTCTATACAGAATTAATGTATACAATACGAAAGTGTATAACATATTAAAAAAAAATAAGAAGTGAATAAATCGATCTGTTACCCATGGTTGCGAAGTGGCGGTTTCTAGGGTTCCGGCGAGTCCTCTATTGATTGCAGAGGGAGAAACGGCGGTACAACTGAAACCCACGCAATAGTAATAAAATTTGTAGACAGTCCACTTAAAAACCCTAGTTGAGTTAATTACTTTAATGCCCTGATATTTTACTCCAGACGACGCCGTTCGTAGTAATATAATGCTTTCCTTATGAGACCCCCAAGAATTATCATAAATTACATACAGGCCCAAGAAGTTTTGTTTCCCTAACCAAAAGGACCTTTGCCCCTAGGAATTTTGACAATTTTCTCCCGTTCTTTTTTATTTAACTGACAGTATTATAAATATTTGCTAAAAGTCAAATAAATTTCTATAAGTGCTATGCACTTAACGCCATTCATTTCTATTTATTTATAAACACATAAACACTTGTCAAATATATGTTTAGTTAAAAACACTATTAGTCAAGAATTAATAGCGTCTTTCGATTTAGTCACCGAATTTTATGTTTTAATTTATTTTCGAAAGTTTGGATGCTCTATCTTCTGAAATTAACGAAAAACTTGATTTATATGACAAAAACAATGACATAGTTCAAAAAATACATTAATGCTTTAGGTTTGTAGTTAATTAGGAATTTTTCAAGAATTAGTTATTCAAATTAGGGATGGCAATGGGCGGGATAGCTCCTTCGCCCGAGCGTCGTTGGATATTTTCAGGAGGTGCTGTGGGGATGAGGCGGGACCGGGATAAAAACATTGTTGTGCCCATTTTCCCATTTGGCCATTCTTATCTAAATAACCATCAAAGGAGTGGAAAAAAAATTGTGTCTTTTATTGGAAATTTCAAACTATCAAAACCCTTCAGCAAATAGAGGGCATTGATTTTCAAGGGAGAACAAGCCCAGATGTGGTACGTTTGTCACCATTTCAATTTTTTACACCATCTCGAATAGATAGTCAAGTTCTTTTGGCACGTGTTTAAGAAAATTATACAGCTCTTGGGCCTTTCACAAAAAAAAAAAAAAAGTGAATCTTGCTTGCATAAAGGGACGCGTTGAAGATATTTTAAATAAATAAGTTTGTATTTTTCTTAACGACTTAAACTTTTAGATACAGTGGTTCAAAATAGTCAACATTGGGAAAAGATGCTCATAATTGTGAATAATTTATTTTATGAGCGAGAATATAAACCTAAATGAACTATAGATCCCGTTTCAGATGCATGAAGATGCACAAATTGCTTGATTTCAAGCTCTCCAATTGCTATTTTATTTGGCAGATCACAAGCCTATGGGATTGTACTACATGGTCTAGGGCTGGATCCTAGCTCATGGATGGTGTTTCTGTTGGGTTTAAGATGTGGGCGCTTGTAAACTGTTCCAAACTACCTGAAGATTCTTTTCTGCAATGATAGCTACCGGTTCTGATCGTACAATTGTTTATTGCCCTTCCTGTGGGATCAACATTTCAGATGAAATGTTTGAAATTCTTGCATTGATTCAACTTGAAAGAATTGGATCTATGCTTCATGTTCCCTTTCTTTTGATGAACTAAGGCTCTTTTTATTCTGAGTTACTCGATTTTCTTGATGATTGTGAGGTCTCTAGTACTCTCTCCAAGGGTGAGTTGGCATCATTGTCAAAAGTTTGTGATGAAGAGTTTGTAACTCTTGCATTGATTCAACTTGAAGGAATTGGATCTATGCTTTGTTCCCTTTCTTTTTATGAACTACGACTCGTTTTATGCGAAGTTGCTTGATTTTCTTGATGATTGTGAG